CCACAGAGCTTTCTTTAAGCTTCCTTTCCACTTAATGCTAAAAGTTGGATGAAGCGCTGCTGATTTTACATGTTGCCAAATCTTATGATTTATGTAGCGGCATTCTATTACTGACGATTAGACAGACATCTTCTCCCGCTCAGAGAAAACTACTGCGCATGACTTGGAGCGCCGCGTGCAAGTGAGAAGGGGAGGCAATGGGTTACAACAGACACATAAGTCACGTTATTGCTTGAATTTTACAGTGCCATGTTAAGTCCCTGAGCCTCACATTTTAATGGAAAAAAAAAAAAAGCCTAAACAGAAAAGAGCTCGGAAGTAACGCGACAGTTTTGTAGAAATGTAGTGGAGTAAAAGTAGAAAGTATCCATGATTAAATCTACTTAAGTACAGATAAATGAAAATTATGCTTAAGTTCATCCCACCACTGGTTTTAATTAAGCTCAGTATGCCAAAAAGACTTTGATATTGTGAGGCTGCCGTTATAACTCATTCATCATTGTGCGTCATATTTTTGCAGTCTAAGAAAATTAAGATGAAAGAGGAATCCAGGGATGAGGTATTAGAAAACCTAAAGACTTCCCTGTCTCAGAAGAGGCTCTGGCTCCACCAGATCACCAGATCAGTTCTGAGGGTGATGTAAGGCTTTCTTTTTTTTTTTTTTTTACACTGAGAAGCCAGGTAAATTTTTAACAGCAGCAAAAACTGGTGTGTTTCCAACACTAAGTGCTTAATAGACATGTTAGGCATTTAACGCATTTGTTTAATGCGTAAAATATGGCAAATATGGAAAAATATTTAAAATAATTGAACAGAATTTATTCCCCTTGTTAATCTACCATTTCTCTTTCATACATTGCATTCATTGTTGGCTTTCAGGGCCCTGTGATGGACCGGTGACCTGTCCAGGGTGAACCCCGCCTCTCATCTGATGGCTGCTGGAGATGGGCACCACCAGCCCCCCTCACTACCCTGCAAGGATCAGCGTGTTCATATCATGGATGGAAAGATTTTAAGGTAGTTTGTCTCCTTAAGTTCACACTTAAAACAGCTTCATAGTTAATGCCAACATCAACTGATTCTATGATATTGCTGACTATTTTTTTCTACTTCTAACATAAAGAGGCAAAGAAGACACCCAGAAATGTCTTTCCACTCCAGTCATACGTTCCCAATCATCATCATTTCTGATGATGTCACATACATGGCGAGTCCACATCGTCTTGAAATTGTAAGTATTATTTTTTTATTTGCCATTTTTCTGTACTCTTTAAAATACAAATGCTTTCTCTGTTTAATTAATCTATTGCTCTCTTTTGTAGGTTTCTGTAAAGTGCAGTGAATGTGAATGTTCTGTCGTTGATCCTCACTGTTCTTAGGAAGGAGAAATGTCAGTTTGTCTGCAGTAATACTGGAATACTGTGACGTTGTATTAAAACAATACTCTGTCTTTGGTGAAACTTTTTTCACATTTCCTCTAAAGTGTACGTATTGTTTTAGTGTGCCAATTTTCATGAGCGTGTTGTCTGTAAACTTTGAATATATTGACAATTTGTACAATTCTGTGATAGTATATTAGCAATGTACTTTTGAAAAATGTGAATATATTGAATAAACAATGTAAGTTTTTTCACCTGTAAAGTGAGTTGTAATGTATTCTTCTGTGTTCTGGTAACCTGATGTGTTTGCAGTACTGATGTGTGTATGAAGCATGTAATGTACAAAGTGGCAAAGCAGCACAGTGATGAGTAACTGAAAAGTGTACTTCATTAGCAATTATAATAAACCAAAAGTGTAATTGTAGCATACTGTAATCACACTATTAATATACAATATGTAATGCCAGCACACTTAAAATACATTCTAAATATATTTTAAATGTAATTCAATCACAAAAATAGTACACTCAAGATATACTAATCAGGCACGTTTATATTACATAAATGCTGCATATGTAAAGTATACAAAGTATAATTTTACTTGTTCCAAAAACTTTAAATTGTGATTTTCTACAATTGAATTACTATGAAAATTACTATTAACATACTTTAAGTATACTGATGATTAGTCTGGCTTCATGTATTCTCAAGTATGCTAAAACTTAGTACTGCTTAGCATATTTATGTTTCATCTGGGATGTTTCAGCATATTTAAATATTTTTGGTTGGGAAAACAGAATTGAATAGGAAAAGAATTGTCTGATTTGATGTATGGTGAGTATTTTACAAAGCACACTCATAATTTATATATATATATATATATATATATATATATATATATATATTTATTTAGTAATATTTATATAAATATACAAAAAACAAAATAATACAAATATATTATAGAGAAACAGATTATTAAATAATAATACCTGTTGGAGCCTATTAAGAATTAGATAAATTTATTTTTTGCTAAATTATTAATTTCCACAGATCTAAAGTTATGTGAATGGTAGATCGATTGTTGTATATTTATTTATGTACGTATTTATTTATCTGTTTTGCTTAGACCCTCCTCCTGGTCAGTCAGGCTCCTGCAGTGATTAACAGGCAGAAGCAGCTGCTGGGTTGATCTGATTGTTTGGTGAAGGAGTGAGGGGTGAAAAGGTTTTTGTACCACAAATTAACGTTTATATTTGAAGTCAACTTGGAGATTATTTTTTGTTATTTTTATAAGTAAAATAAACCCCTTTTGAAACAAGAAAAGTCTCCGCGAGTGCTTTTTATTTTTTCTTTGAGTGAGTTGAAAACCTCCTCCTAAAAGACTGTTCTGGCACTTTTGTTTTTTTGGACTTTTGTGATGCAAGAGTGGCCATAGCAATACCAAATAATATATGTTAGGCTATACATATTCATATGTAATTGCATATATACATGATCCCCAGGGTTTCCCCCAGAAAACTTGCTAAGCCCAGTGGTCGGGCTGGTGAGGCGGTCCACCTTGTTTTTCTATTAAAGATGTTAAGTTGACAGGAAATGTAAAAATATTACTGGGTAATTATACGTTACGGGAAAACATCACCAATGAAATGTATTTAACCCTTGTGCATGCGAGGACTTAGGCAAATGATACAAGTTTTACGTGTTGTGGGGTCGATTGGACCCCATTTCTGGACACAAGGGTTAAATCCACAATTAGTTTAAAAACCACAAATTAAAATTGACACTTTTAAAATTTATTTTAATTATTTGCACTTCTGTTTAATCCACANTAAGTCAGCAGCTCCATAAGACCTCCAGGGCTTCAGGGGCCCCGTAAATGCTAATATTTAAACACAGACCACAGATATATAAATGTAACACTTGTTTATTGAAATTATCAATGCTGCTAAATTTGATTTAATGGCTTCAGCATACATAAATTAAAAGATTTTGAATTGTTTAAAATATAAATGTAAGATTTCAATGAGCTGGCAAGTTTACTTTGTAAAAGTTCAAAGACCAATCTTCATAGTTAGATTGTTTTGTTACCATAGCAACAATCTGATGCTGTGAGTTTAATCTCTAAGTTTGAACTCTGTTCACAAATACAAATTAGTAAACTGCAGTTATAACTTATTGCTTTTTAGGTTGGTCAGTTTTGGGGGAGGGGATTAAAACTAATCCCCTCCCCCTTTCTGTGTTAGATTAAATTTAACACAGAAGCTGTAAGTGGTACTGATGTTTTTAGCAACAAAAGGGGCCCCAAAGTCAGATTCTGCTCCAGGCCTCATACAGCCTTGGACCGGCCCTGCATGATCAGGTAATCTGCTGCACTACGCAGAGATGCGCAACAAACGGGAGATTTAATTCAATGCTGCTAATGTGGCTTTAGTAGCTCTTTCATTTCGTGTCTGTTGAGTTTTTAATAAGTGTCACGGAAACTGCTTGTGGGACGAGATTTTAAATGTCTGTGCACATTATTACTGACTAAGTGGACAAGCATTTGGTATGGTTTGATGCTTCATGTAACTGGAAAAATAATACTAAAAAATAAAATAATATAAGACCAGCGTGAAGCATGACGTTGAGGTGAGTGCGAAAGCTCCTCACCAGGCTGAATCTGCATAATGAGGTTAGCACTGGTCCTTTTACCACTAACACACTGGATTGGATATCTGCTATGAGCAGCCCTGATTGGAGTGCATCTTGCACATCTGCTGTTCATTTGCTTAGTAGCAACTGTTGATATTAGAAGCTGCAGGACAACCATTTTCTTCTAGATAACTCCTCCATGGTAGGCTAGCCAGCGTGAACTCCCCTTTGAATCTTCTAGTGGTTTCTTGTGATTTTTTTGGTGTTATTGAGATCTCTTGGGATCTAGAATCTCAAATGCCTTTTTCCAGGTCTTTGACTGCCATCCACATTTTCTGGAGTCAGAATCAGATCCACATTGCAGCTCCAAAGCCTCATTTCCATGCCCACTCACCGCAGTTCAATTTCTCTGGACTCTAAGGATACAAAGTAAATCCTCTTTATTCGGATCCTGATTACCACTTCCTCTTCCTGTGAATCCTTCAAGGAACCAAAAACCAATTTTTCCAAGGAAACAGCTATCACCAGTCATACTCGCCTTCATCCAGCCATTAATCTATTATTCTGCAACTCATCCTCCAGATAAATCCCGGACCTGACGCAGAGAGACAACATTATTGTTATTCACTTTCTTGTACATATCGTAAATAAATATTTTAACTTCTTTGCTTTTGTGTGTGATTTTACATGTGGATCAAAACCTGACACCCTTCATGAGAGGGTCAAATCTTTGAGAAACAAACTGCCATAAAATTTAACCCAAACAAATGTAAATCAATAGTGCTGTAACATATTTTATGATAACCTGGCTAAAACATTATTAGGACATTAACACATTTCATTTTTGTCTTTCAGGATGCGCATTTGTAACATTTACAGGTCGACAAATGGCCCAGTCTGCTATCAAGTCAATGCACCAGTCACAGACTCTGGAGGTGATGTGCAATTAGGACAAATAATGATCTGTAATGTTCTTTTAAGGCTAAAACTACTGAATTACAATATTTGTATTATAAATGCATCTTTTTTCAAGGGGTTGTTTCTTTTTAAATTGCGATTAGTACTTTATATCAACTAAAAAAATCATATATCAATATATATTACATTTATAGTATACTTAACTTCCTTTATTTTTGATGTTAAGGGCTGTTCATCACCCATTGTAGTGAAATTTGCAGATACTCAGAAGGACAAAGAGCAGAAACGCCTGGCTCAACAGCTGCAGCAGCAGATGCAGCAACTCAGTGCCACTTCCATGTGGGGAAATTTATCTGGTTTCCACAATCTTGGACCACAGTTCCTTGCAGTGAGTGTGGGTCTATTAGTTATTCTCTTTGTTTTATTCAAAATGGAACCATTAGCTAAGGCAAATTATAATTTTTAAAGCTAATTTCAATTTTGTTGTTGGCTGTAGCTCTACTTACAGTTGTTGCAGCAGTCTACCTTCACAGGAAATGCACTCAGCAATTTACACCAAGTTTCAGGTACACACACACACACACACACACACACGTGCACACACACAAGTTTGTATTTCTACCCATATTAGGATTTTGTATTGACATCCATTCATTTTATTAACTGCATTTATGCCTAACCCATATATTTTCCCTAACCCTAACCAATACCAGTGTATTTATAACCTTAACCTTAATCTAATTCACACCTTACCTCTAAACCTAACCTCTAGCCCTAAACGGGCCACCATATTAGGATTGGGCTTTTTGCATAGTAGCCAGAAGGAGTTAGTGGGGTTTAGAAATTGACTGTTCGTGTGTCTGTCAGGTCTGAATTCCATGCAGAATCTGGCAGCTTTAGCTGCTGCAGCAACAGATACACAGGGCACAACTTCAACTTCCAACATCATGACGACATCTAGTAGTCCATTAAGTGCTCTAGCCGGCTCAGGTAAAAAAAATAAAAAAAATCAGTCATACACTGCATTTGTATACTTCATTGCAACTTCATAACTGAGATATATTCTATTGTATTTGGTATTCATATTTGGAGTTTTGGCATTTGAAAGTATTTGCTTTTAAGTTTTGTATGAAGTCTACATAAATATTAAGTGGTTTATCAGTATTGTAAGTAAAAAATGTAACAAGCACCGACATGCCACATCAGGAAACATTGTGCGATGATAAATCTAATTTTACATAACAAAATTACCAAAATATTTTCAGATAGTAAAGTCTACATGTGGAATCATTTTATAGTATTTCAATGTTCATAGTTTCAACTGTGCTTCAATAAAAAAAAAACTATTTTATTCCACAGTTATCCAAATGAGGGGTGGAATCAAATCGGAATCAGATCATTTTTGTTTTGATGAGGTAAAAAAAACCAAAAACAAAACAAACAAACAAAAAAAAAACAAACAAGCAAAATGGTCAAAATAACTGCCCTGACAATTCTAGAGTTAAAATACTTGCAGGGTTTCCCACAGAAAACTTGTTAAGCCTGGTGTTTGGGCACCAAGGTGATCCACTGGCGGTTCCCTGTGTTTTTGTATTAAAAGATGTTAAGTTGACAGGAAATGTAAAAATGTTACTTCCCATGTAAGTAATTGGAGAAAAGTACTCTACTTTTACTATCACTTTGAGAAAATCTGTCGGTAAAAAACAAAGTGAACTAATGCCTCCAAAGGGATCCAAGACCGAGATGAGACCAGATGAGGAGTTTGGATTGCTCATGCAAGTTAGAGTTACTGAGCCAGCAGAACAAAATGTACAGACTTTCTTTAACAACAGGACAATTTCAAAGGCTTTGCTAAAATCATTATGGACACTACAAACACCAGATTGGACGAGCTGACACGAAAAGTGCAGGACATTAAAACCAGCTTGTAATTTCAGAAAGATGTGGATGACATCTAAACAGAAAGGGTAAAGCATGGCGAACGAGGTAACTTGCTGCAGTCGGATGAATTCAAAGTTTGTGATAGCCTGTTGTCAATCACCGATAAGATGGAGGACATGGAGGGACAATCAAGGAGAAACAATCTGGTTGTCGACAGAATTACTGAGTCGCCAAACGAGACTTGGGCTGAGACGGAAGAGAAAGTGAATACAGTTATATCTGAAAAGTTAAACCTGCAACATGAGATCGAGATGTAGAGAGCTCACCGCACTGGGAAACCCAGAGGAGACAGACCCAGGCCGATTGTCGTCAAATTCCTGAGGTTCAAGGACAGATCAACTATTCTGCAGCTCACCAAGGCACTTAAGGGATCCAAAATCTACATGAACGAGAACTTCACAGATGCTGTAAGGAAGAGGAGGGCGGAACTGATACAAGACTTAAAAGCAGCATGTTAAAGAAGGGACATCGCTTGTCTCCGTTATGATAAGTTGATCACCCATCCCCGCTCAAGTACCCCAAAATTACCCAGTGATGTTTAAAGGATAACCAGGTATGTGGTCTGCACCCAGCGATGCCAGTTATTAGACAGATATACAAACATTACCATGACAACTGGCACAGCTGACGGGCACCCCCAATGGAAAAACTTGCTAGAGATCGCTGATTATGAGGATGTGTAACTGGCTACATTTCAGTACAATTGTCATCAGCAAGATATTGAAAACTAGAAAGTGTGCATTTCCTATGAAAATGCAAGTGTGAATGCTGAATGCTCAATGCTGAAGGCTTTTGGAGAAAATGGCAAAAGTGTTTGAAGTCAACTGCTGAATACTTGCAGAAAGGTAAGAAATAGTCCATGCAGTGTGAAAAATCCAGGTAAAAGCCAAAACTAGCTAAAATACTAATGATAGCATCTAGCAGTGTTGTGTTCAAGACCACCCAACCCGAGACCAAG